TTCCCAGCATCCCATATGGTCCTCTGAGCACCACCAGGAGTACTTCCTGAGTACAGAGCCAGGAGTACCCCTGAGTATTGCTGGGTGTGACCCAAAAAGAAAAAAAAAAGAAAAAGAAAAGAAAAAAATGTGGGCAGAAAAATATTGTCATTTGTTAATAGAAACATGTTACTAGTTATTTCATTTTATTTTGGATTTGCAAATTAAGTATCTGTATTCATTTAGGCAAAGATTAAGTGAATTTCACTGTGTAAAACAGACTGTTGAAAAAGCCAAGAGTGTGACCGGACTGACTTTAATTTTGCAGAAATGCTATCATTCTATTTTTTTTCCATAAATGAACTTTTATAGAGTTACCAAGGAAAAATAGATGAGAGGATTCAGTTGAATGTATAAATGAAACAGGAGACATTACAACTGAAACCACAGAAAAAGCAAAAGACAATAAGAAATTGCAATCATATTTCACTGAACATCTTAAACAACAACAAGCCAATATGCCAATGATTTTCAACCTTTTTAACAACCACAGACTAGTGAGAATAGGAGAAAAGATGTGTATAGGCAGATACCCTCTTTTTTTTTAAGATTTTTTATTGAATCACTGTGAACTAGACCCTTACAAAGCAGTTCATGATTAGGTTTCAGCCATACACCTATCTCGCCACCAGTGTACATTTCCCAGAACCAGTGTCCCCAGGTTCCCTCCCATCACCCCCCTCCCTCCCCCATAGAGGCAGGCACTTTGTCAGACATTTCTCTTAAACTGCCTTCACTCTTTATAAGCAGTGCTGTCTCACTCCCCTCCCCTCCAGGATTCAGGCATATCATGTACTAAGCCAGAGCTTTTTACACTTCTTAAATTTGAGACTCTTTTTTTGTCTGAGACATGTTTACAAGAGCCATAAAGATACTTATTTAGGTATACAAAGCAAACATCTGCTGATAGTAAATTAGAAAAAAAAATCTTCAAAAAATTACTTGGAATACATATTATTTTACCATATTATTAAAAACAAGAGCGAATTTTCATACTAAAGAGATAGGTGTTGCTTGTTTATTTTTACATAAAGGATTAAACATTAGTTAAATAGCTGATATTGCAGGACATAAAGCATCTTTGACATTTTTCAGATTTGATTAGCACTTTTATATTTGCCAATGTTGAGAATACCACTTTGCATAAATACATAGTACAAAAGTGGCAGAAGTATGTTAGGGCCATTTCAGAAAATGTTAAAAATTATTTTCTAATCTCAAGCCAAAATTTATTTATCAATTTCTTAGGAAACTCAGGTTTTAAACCTGTGTTAATTGATAGATAGTTAAATTCTTGAACTTGAACTTTTAATAATAGACTATTGATTTTTTTATTTCACTTGTTCATTGCTTATATACTGAACTTGGCTTTTATTTAAAAAAATTAAATATATGCTTTATTTTAATTAAGGCACCATGTATCATTCTATTTTGTTTTAATTAAGGCACATGTATCATTCTATTTTAGTTCATAAAAATTGATTCACTTCGAATTGCTTATGTATTATGCTTACCGCAGTAGAAAAGTTGATTAAAAATCAATGCATCTGTTGCAGTAATGATTTTATTTTCTTTTTTGTCTTCTGAGATTTTGAAATGACTGTATTAAAAGTTTTGCATGTTTTTATATTTAGATATATTATTTAAAATATGCTGCAAATGAAACACTTATCTGAGTTCAAACAGTATTTGGGAGGCTGCCACATGCCAGGTGCTGTACAAGTTGCTGGAGATAAAATGATGATAGGAAGATTTCTGACCCCATGGAATATAATCTGAAAGAAAGAAGAACTTTATTTGTATTTTTAATTAATTTAATAATTCTTACTACAGCTTTCATGGGCTGTGTACTCATCCAAGTTATTTGCTTCTCCAAGTAATTGTGTATATTATTCTAAAGAGAAAGATTATCTTTTTACTTTGGATTCACAGAATTCTCATTATGGTTTTGATTTGCATGTCCCTAACAACAAGCGATGTTGAGCGTTTTTGTTCATGTGTCTGTGGGCCATCTGTATGTTTTCTTTGGAGAAGTGTCCACATGTATTTTACCAATTTTTTAATTGCATTGCTTGCTATTGTAGTTGTCAAGCTGAATAAGTTCTTTATATATTTGGATATTAACTCTTGCCAGATGTATGATGTACAAATATCTTTCCTCAATTTGTTGGTAACCTTTTTGGTTTTGTGATAGTTTCTTTGGATATATAAAACTTTTTAATTTGATGTAATCTTATTTGTTTATTCTTGTTAAGAGATTGATTCTCCAAATACATATCTGATATTGAAATATTAGAGTGTATTGCCTGTTTTTTCATCGATGTATTTTATAGTTTTATAAATAGTTTTATAGTTTTATAGATAGCACAGCAGGCAAGGGTGTTTGCCTTGCATGCGGCTGACCCGGGTTCGATTCTTCCGCCCCTCTCGAGAGCCAGGCAAGCTACTGAGAGTATCCCGGCCACACAGCAGAGCCTGGCAAGCTCCCCGTGGTGTATTCCATAATGCCAAAAACAGTAACAAGTCTCACAATGGAGATGTTACTGGTACCCGCTCAAGCAAATCGATGAACAATGGGAGGACAGTGCTATTTTAGAGTTTTTGATATGATATCTCTGTCCTTAATCCATTGTGAACTAACATTTTATATATAGTATTAAACAGTGATCTAGTGATGAAGTTTCTATCTTTTGCTTTTTTGGTGTGCTTTGTATGTGGCCATGTGATTTTGACTCCTTTATCATAGTTTCAGTGTCCACATATGTGTGGGTTTAGTCTGGGTTCTCTATTCTACTTCGTCTATCTATGCCAGACCAGCTATGACTGGATTTTCTGTGAGGGTTGGAGCTACTATACAGTAGGTAGGACACTTGCCTTGCATGTGGGTAACTTGGGTTCAATCTGTGGCACTCCATAAGGTCTCCTGAGACCTACCAGCAGTGATATCTGAGCACACAGCCAGGGATAAGCCCTACGCACTTCTGGATGTGGCCAAAAACCAAACAAAAAGTTTGGGGTTTTCTGTTTTGCTTTTCTGTGAATGATAGTTGATCTCTCATTATACTTCAGCAGGCAGAATTTTTGCCACATCTGTTTGGCCTTTTTGCTGATCCCAACACTTTCTCTCTATTATTGTCATATCTACTGAGTGTGAGACCTGGGTAGGACAGAAGAGAAACTGGATTGGAGTCATAGTACAGGATTTAAGGCATTTACTTGCAGTCAGCCTACCTATGTTTGATCTCCGACACCACAGCCATGGTCCCTGAGCAAGGAGCTAGAAGAAAACTCTCAGCACTTCTGGATTTGTCCCAAAACCCAAAAGTAAAGAGGCGGGGAGGGGGGAGGAAAGTGGGGGGAGAGACTGAGAAGGAGAGAGAGAGAGAGAGTGAGAGAGAGACTGAGAGACAGAGACAGAGAGATTTGTAAACCAAAAGAGAGGAATGATGATCCTCTGAATCTTTAACAGTTGGGTTCCTAGGTTGGTTTTTCTTCTTATAAACTATTTTATTCATGTTGGGTTGGTTTGATGTGGTCTTCCACCCCACTTCTTCCATAATCTTATAGCATTATTGTTTACTTTTGACTATTTCCATACACTTTTTTTCTGGGATAAATTGGTCAAAAATTATTCCTTTTAAATGTTGCTTTGTTGCTTTCTGGTGCACATGCCACCCACATCTCCCTTCTTGAGATATGTACTTTCGTACTTCAGGCCCATTTCCCCATTCAGGGCAAATGACCTGCATAGCGCTACGTGAGATGTGTGTTGTCTCTCTCCATTCCAGAGATGCTTGTTTCGTCTCTTGACCACGTATCAAAATCAACATTTTCCTTCTTTTGTTTTACTTCAAAAATTTATTTTGCTTTTTTTAAATTTCCTTTTCTCATGAAATTGTGTCTTGCACATGTGACTTTCAAAAGGATAGCTTATAAACTAAAATGCAATTTATGTGGTCTTAAGATGGCCGTATTTATTTAATCTCCAAATCTAATTTTCTCCTTTGAAATTTTATTGAGCTTCTTACTGCTTTTCAAGCAACTCATTCTCAAGCACTTCCCATTTCCTTTTGTGTCATGGTTGTTTTTGTCATAATGACTAGAGATTGTGCACACTTGGTTACATTGTTCACACTACTTAATTATGGTGATTGGTGGAGTCATTCATTTTATTTGGGGTGCCCCCCCAAACTTGGTTTCAGTGTGCTGAAGATTGTGCAGTTTTTGTTGTGAAGCAAGGGGTCCAAAGTATGAGAGGTGACAGGATCCTGCTCTGCCCCTGTAGGGTGGTGCCAGGTATCAAACATGTGGGCTCACACTTACAAAGCAAGAGCTTTGCCAGAGCCAGCCACAGGCCTGCCCTGACACCACTGTGCTATGCTCTTAATTACATAGTTTATAGGACAGTATTTCCAGAACATTTAGAAATTATCATGCTTTTTAAAAAACATTTTTATTATTAATAATATTAAACATTTTTATTAAACATTAAAATAAGTTACGTGGTGAACCAAGAATTATTGTAAAAGGGAAGTCATGAGTAAAGTGCACAGGGGTTAGGTTTTTCTATCTATTGAACTTCGAATTCTGGAGCCTTCTTGAAAAGGGGGAGTCTGTGAGTTTCTCTGAGCAAATTTGGGAGACCCTTGGACTATTGATTTTGTGAAAATAACATCCTTTGCTATCTAATGCAAAGTGACAACTGCCTTCGACCTCTGAGATTGCTCACAACAAACTAGTTCCAGCTTATTTCTTATCTGGAGGAAGCCGCATTCCCTCTAGGCTTGTCTGTATTATCAGTTAATCAGTTACTCATATCAGTTGGTGTTAAGTGAAATTTTAGTTGGGGATAGATTAGAATCTTATTTGCGTTGGGTAAATTTGACCTCCAAGGCAGAAAGTGCCATGTTCTAAATCTTGTACTGGTTCTGACATGTGCAACAAGTGTGCTCTGTTTTTAGGTCCCTACTGTGGAGGTCTGACTGCTCCCAGAGAACTCTTGCTGAACACAAGCGAAGTTACTGTGCACTTTAAGAGTGGGTCCCACATTTCTGGACGGGGATTTTTGCTGACCTATGCCAGCAGTGACCATCCAGGTATAGCAGAAGAATGAATATAAATCTGTAAATCTCTATCAAAGAATTCCTCATAGATTCAACTGGGTCAGATCCACTGGTTAAATCTGTGGATCAGAATCACAGGCTCCTTGTTAGCACAACAGTTCAGGCCTCTAAGTCCTGGCCTCTAGCCCTTTCTTAGCTGAGGGGGCAAGCCTTTTAGCTGGTGACACTTCTTCCATCTCTCTCATATGAAAACATGCATACACACACCAGTATGGAAGGTTTGTGTGTATTAGCAAGACAAACTCACTTTGTCTCACAGAGTCTTAGTCATGGAGCTGACACCTGAGTGGGAGAAAAGAAGTAGTCTCCCATCCAGAGTCATTACACCAGCATCACTCCATGTCTGCACAGAGGTTTCCAACATTTCTATTGTCAGACTCCTCTGGCTGATATTCCCTGGGAAGGAGGGCACTATTTATCCTTTCTCTCAGCCATCAGTCTCCAGTCTTAAAAGCCCTCATCTTCCACCACCACCTTCCACCCCCAACTTCACCAGTGTTTGCCATGGTTTGCTCCCTAACAATTACTGAAAAGATTCGGAAAAAGCTATTTAGCAAATGTAGGATCGTTGGGGGACTGTATTAGGTTGATCTAGATGCATCAAAACTTGTCATCTCTCAGTGTCTCCATTAATGCAAATTATTTCTGTTCTGAATTATTTAAAGAACACACTCATTTACAGTGCTTTGTTCTAATAAAGTGAAACTGATAGGCTCTGCTCTCAGTAAACTGGTTCTGTGGTCATTGGATGCCACTGCCTAAATCATTAAATAAAAGAGCTCCTAAATCTTCTGGTGGAACCACGTTAGGCTTTTGACATCATTTTCCTCCTGCCAGGGGAGGTTATAGCCCTGATTTGTACAGACCTGTAGTAGAAAGGAACTAGCATGTGTTGCTTTTTCTGTTGGAAATGGATTCTGTTATCTTTCATTGGATTATTGCCAGAAACCCATTCTTGGTGGTAGAAAAGAAAAATGAGGGAGACTGATTAAGCCCTGGAGAATGTCAGCTTTTGATTTATTTTTGAATAGGGAAATTGATGTAACTAATGAATAAATTCTTTACATGTTTTTATTTTAAAAGAAATATTTAGAGCATTGGTGCCCTAACTACCATTCAGTCCACTAATCACAGTTATCTTTATTTACGACAGATTTAATAACATGCTTGGAACGAGGTAGCCATTACTTGAAGACAGAATACAGGTAAATAGAGGGTTCCTCGGTGTACTGCTAGCATGTGTTGCTGGACATTTTGTTTTTCTGGTCATCAAACAAGATTAAGTTCCTAATTTGTACTTAATTTTTCAAACACTCTCTATCCTGTGAAATGGGAACTATTTGAAATGCCTTTATATGCAACAGATGTCAGCAAACATTTTTTAGATAAGGGCCAGGTAGCAAATATTTTAGGGCTTCTAGTATTTTCAGGGCAGACCACAAATCTCTTTTGTATCTATTCCTGCTTTGCCATGATAGTACAAAAGCAGCTGCAAATTATTAACCAATGCTTGTTGCTGTGTTCTGATAAACTATAGATACATACATACTTACATACATACATACATACATACAGGCACATCACAATCCAGATTTAGCTCCTGGGTCAGTTTGCTGACCCTTAGTTCTATTATACCACCAATGAGCCAAATGGTCTCGGAATTTTGTTGTTTGTATTTTAAATTTGCCCCATATTTCAAAGTGAGTTTTTTCTTTTTTATTTTTTTTTTACACTTTTCGGAGGTTTCCTATTGTTGTCATAACAAAGGAGAAACTTACTGGGACTAAGGACATAGAAATTTTTATGCCAGCTCTATTTTTACTGGAAAAACTACTTCATCTCTTTCATACACATTTTTACATTTTCCCATCTGTAAAGTCAGAGACTGGAGGGTTTCTCAGCCTTGGCTCTATTGACATTTTGGCTTGAATGCTCCTTTTCTCTGGAGACTCCCATGTTGTTGGATGTTTAGTAGCATCCCTCGGCCTCCTACAAGCCGGTTGTGATTACCAAAAATATTTCTAAACACTGCCAGATAGCCCTCCCAATGGGCAAAAATCAACCCCGGTCAAGAATCACTGGTTTAGAGATTATTTTCAACAACACTAGTAGTGTCTAACATTTTTTTTAATAATGCATTCTTGGTTTTAGCTCAACTCTCAGGGCGAGAATATAAGTGGCTCATGTGAATTTTATTTTTTATCGGGGGAGGGTGGGCACACCCATCAGTGCTCAGGGGTTACTCCTGGCTCTGCACTCAGAAATCACTTCTGGCAGTACTTGGAGGACCACATAGGATGCTTGGGATGAAACCTGGTCAGACACATGCAAGGCAAACACTCTACTGGCTGTACTGTTGCTCCAGCGCCTCATGTGAATGTTTTCATGTGTGTATAGGTTGATTCTATCATACCCTGAAAATAGACACAAAATGGTTACAGAGTTTGCCCAAGGCTACAGACTTTATCAGTATCCCCAGAGTCAAGCTCAAGATTGATGCTTCTAACTAACTGAGAGAACACTCTAATCATCTAATTATTTTTTACATGCAGAACCAACTGATTATTAGTTAACTAATATTAAGAAAAGTAGAGAAAAAGAAAAGAAAAATCACCAATATTTAAATCACCTTATAAAGTTACTCTTCATTCAGTATAGACATATAGAGCACTCTCTGAGATCTCTCTGATCATAGCTCTATATCTGGTGAAAAGGCTCTGGGCATCAATGGCTGCTATTTTCTCTCCTGAAGAAAGAAAAGTGCCCGTGTGTGCCTACAGAGTAATGTGTAGTATAGTGCTGGATGGTCTAAACCATTGTCACACGTTTTATTGTATTAGTTGAAGATGGTGTGGGCTGGAGCAAAAGCACAGTAGGTAGGGCGTTTGCCTTGCACATGGCAGGACTGGGTTCAATTCCTCCATCCCTCTCTGAGAGCCCAGCAAGCTACCGAGGGTATCCCGCCTGCACAGCAGAGCCTGGTAAGCTCCCTGTGGCATATTTGATATGCCAAAAACCAGTAACAAGTCTCACAATGGAGACGTTACTGGTGCCCGCTCGAGCAAATCAATGAACAACAGGAGGACAGTGCTACAAGACAGTGCTACAGTGCAGTTAAAGATGAGGGATGGGGACTAGAACAGGTCCATATAGCCTCAGTCATTATTGTGAAACATAGAAAGCTATAAAAGTCAGAAAACTTTTGTGACTCATGTAGTGTCAAGATCTAATTAATTCATTTGAGGATAATATTGGACTGAATTGATAAATGCATTTTAATTTTTATGTAGTTGATGTATTCTGTTCATGTTTTTATGCCAAAATATTGCTTTTGGTTATTAAATGCAAATTTCATTCGGGCTCTTACATGCATCCGTGACACCATTTTATTTTTTTAAAAATCAAAAAATTCTGAATTATATCTGACTGAAAGGGTAAAGATAAGAAACTATAAAGCTATGGTAGGATCCCTGTTATTTCTACTTAATATTTTTATTATTAATGCAGTGATTGTTGGAATAAATTGTGAAACACTTGTTGGATAGTTCTGGTAATCAGGTCTTGTTATATGTATAATTTGTTTAGTTAGTAAGAGAGAGCTGAAAGAGAATTAAATAAAAGTAATTGCTATATTGGAATTTTTTTGGATCAGTACATTCTTTTTAAACTGAGTAAACATAATTGTACTATAGTTTATATATATAAACAAGGACACGTGGTATTTAACTTCAAGGTTGTTGATGTTCTTAGAATATTTCTTTTTTGTACATTTTAATAGATATACAGCTGTTCTGCTTAGCCTATGCATGTAGATGTGATATATGTAGAAACAACAGATGAGAAAAGGCAATTTAAGGAGAACTAAATGCAGTATTCAAGGTAGCTTAGGCAGTACGTGAGACTAAGATATCCAACTCAAAACCTCTGCCACCATACTTTATGCGATGACATGTTTCTATGAAGTTGTTTCAATCTTGTTTTGCTTTTTTAAAACAAAATTTCAGTTTTTAGGCCATACCCAGGAGCACTAAGGAGTTACTCCTAACACTGCACTCAGAAATCATTCTTGATGTCTCGGGAGGCCTTATGTTGTGCTGGGAATCAAACTACAGTTGACCTTGTGCAAGGCAATTGCCCTACCTACTCTGCTATCTCTGACCTCAGTGCTGGCTTGGGGACCACATCTGGGAGTGCTCAGGACTCACTCCTGGCTCTGTGCTCAGGGCTTATTCGTGGCAGGGCTCAAGAACCCACAGGGGGTACCAGGGATTAAACTCTGGTCAGTCACATGTAAGACAAGCTCCTTTCTATTATTTAATTTTTTTAGGAACATAATATATTATTTGAGATATATATCAGTAAAGTGATACATTGGCTGAGAGGAATCCTTTCACTTGATATGTATATATACAATCAAAATGAATTCTTTATATTATAATTTAATTTCACTGTACCTCAATATATTTGTGTATATATATATATACACACACACATAAGTAATTTATAACAATTTAGATAATTACCATCCAATACATTATATGTATATATATCCAAACATATGTATATATATTCAAATATATGGATATATGTTGGATATCTATATAGAGATTTGGATAGAGATTTGTATGGTTATCACACACTAAAACTATGGTTAGTCCATGTTGAAATAGAATATAAATATAAATAATACTACAGATTTAGAAGATAATTTTGAAAAATTGAAAATATTTTATTGACAGTTTTTCAAAATTATCTGGAGTGATAGAAAAATGGGTAGGGCATTTGCCTTGCACGCATCTGACCTGGCCAACCCAGGTTCGATTCCTCCGCCCCTCTCGGAGAGCCTGGCAAGCTACCAAGAGTATCTTGCCTGCACAGCCTGGCAAGCTACCCGTGATGTATTCGATATGCCAAATACAGTAACAAGTATCACAATGGAGACTTTACTGGGCCTGCTCAAGCAAATCAATGAACAGCAGGAGGACAGTGACAGTGACAGTGACAGTTTTTACTGTTCATTGCATGTAGAGTTGATGAAATTAGGAAATACTGGGTTAAATAGTTGACTAAAATGAATATATTAGTAACATTAATTTTGTCTGTTTCTTTTTATATTCTCTTTATTAGAATATTTCAGTTTATACCTTTATGACTTCCATTATGCTTTTATTGGATTAGTGTTAGAAGTTTAATTCAAGATATAACAGAATAAAATAGTAAAGAGTTGAAGTTCTTCAAAATCCTCTCCCAGAAAGAAGAGATAACTCCTTTATCTTCTTTTCTTTTCTTTTCTCTCTCTTTTTTTTTTTGTTTGTTTTTTTTGGTTTTAGACCACACTTGGCCATGTTGCTCAGGGATTACTCCTGATTCTGTGTTCAGGGATTATTCCTGGCAGTGCTCAGGAAACCGTAATGGAGTGCCGGGAATCAAACCAGGGTTGGCCACATGCAAGGCTGTGCTACTGGCTGTGTATCTCTCTGGCCCCCTTATTTTTCTTTTATTCATAAAAAACAGAATTTGTGGACTGGGGAGATAATTCAATGGACTGAGCACATGTTTTGCATACAGGAAGCCTGGGTTTAGGTTTGCATATGTATACATAATTGATTAAACTAGCCCTGTCTGTAACAGTATAGTAAATCACAGTGACTCTTTAAAAAATCATGTTTTTTTTAATAGCACTGTAGCACTGTCCTCCTGTTGTTCATTGATTTGCTCGTGTGGGCCCGCCCAGTAACATCTCCATTGTGAGACTTGTTACTGTGTTTGGCATATCAAATATGATATCGATATGCCAAATTTGTGATATCAATATGCCAAATTCCTGATGCCAAATACATCACGGGTAGCTTGCCAGGCTTTGACGTGCGGGCGAAATACTCTCGGTAGCTTGCCAGACTCTCCGAGAGGGGTGGAGGAATCAAACCCGGCTCGGCCGGGCTGGCAGCTTGCAAGGCAAATGCCCTACCGCAGTACTAACGCTCCAGCCCATTTTTTAAATAGTGTTTAGAAACCTTATTTTTTTCTTAAAGGCATTTTTTGACATCTCTGGATCAATTAAGATGTAATAAGGAAGACTCATTTGCTTAAATCATGTAAAAAAAAACCAAATAGCTATTGTGTAAAACTTTCATTCAGATTAATGTTTTAAATTTAATCTGTGTCTTCACAGATCAGGTCTGGTTTCTCATTAATGCAAGATATTCCTTCCATTTCTTCATAGGAGAGAAAATACTCCTAAGTTTAAGTTAATACTCTCTAAGAATAATTTAATAAAATAAAAATTTTCTTTTCCAGCAAATTTTGTCCAGCTGGTTGTAGAGACATAGAAGGAGACATCTCTGGGAATGTGGCAGACGGATATAGAGATGTAAGTATGGCACCACATATGGTCCCCTGAGCATTGTCAGAGTGAGCCCTGAGCACAGCCCCAGGAGTAAGACCTGAGCACAGCCTGCTGCTTCCCAAAAACCAAATAAAGAAAACAGAAAAAAATATCAGGGCCAGGGAGATGGTACAGTGGATAAAACACTTCCCTTGTCTGCAGTCAACCCAGGTTAGATCACCAGGACCACATGTAATTCCATAAGCCCCACCAGGAGTGCAGAGCCTGGAGTATGTCCTGAGTACGGTCAGGTGTGGTCCAATTCCCTCCCTTATCTCCTTCCCTTCTCTACCTCCCCCACTCCCACACACACACAGATGAGATTTAAGATTTAAGTAATTGAAGGTAATTTTTGTGAGAGGAAAATTAAAGATTATTTGTTCTGCAGAAACTAAAGGGTAAATATGATATAAAACTGGGGCCAGAGAGGGTGAATGTGCATGTTTTACATGTGACCTACCTCAGTTCCACCCACCAGAACCACGTGGTCCTTGAGCATCGCTGAATGCAGCACTGGAAGCCTGAGCAGTACCACATCCTTAGGATTTTGCGTTGAACCACTAACCTGGTTCACCAAGAACTGCCTTGAGGAGTCTCTGGGCTTGCTGAAGACCCAACAGATAAACTTGGGAGACCCAAGTAAATAAACAAACCAAAGGTATAAAACTGTAGCTAGATGTGTGATTCTCTTTTCTGGGAATAAACAAAATTAAATAGTGTAAAAAACAAGATTATTTATGCATTCATTCTTACTCAGCATTTCCAGTTATGCATATAATTCCGTAAATGAAATAGTAGGCAGCACCCCCTTTGACATGAAATCTTGTAAATTCCATCCATTTTTTATGAAGTCACCCTTTCTGTTATCATTTATTTCATTAGGTTAATGCTTTGGTTCCATGAAGTAAAGCCAAGGACATCATAATGTTGTGACTTTGCGTCTGGAAACATCTCTTTGATCTCATTATTCTCTTCTTTGCAGTCTGACTTCATTATGTCTAATGAGATTCTCTTGATTTATTGTTCTCAAAGGAGAATAAATTTACACTTAGAAGTCGCACTTCTAAGTATATTGTATGTTCCAGGTACACGATTCTTTTTTCACTATTTACCCATTTCTAGCTAGAAAATTTCATACCTGATTTTTAAAAATTTACATCATAAGAGCCAGAAAGATAGCATAGAAGTTTAGATACTTGTTTTGTACATGGCCATTTGCAGATCAGTTCCCTGCAATACATATCGTCCCCCAACACCAAGCACTGCCAGTTGTGATTATTATATAACACTGGTGTGTGCCCCCTATGCCTCTCCTCAAAAAAATTGCATTACTGTTTAAAATGGGTTTTTCAGTTCATGAGAATTTGTTGGTATTATTTATGAAATGTGAAATATGTGTAAGATGAAACAGTCTAAGAATTATTTCGTAGGGAAAACACATGATCTAGGGGAAATCTGACTTCAGTTTTTGCTTTCAGCATACCCTGATCCAAAGCAATAATTTCTGTTACTTTTGTTTCCTTTTTTTGTTTATTGTCTTTTGGGGGGAATATTGGGTCATATCTGTCAGTGCTTAGGGCCCTTTTTTACTTTGTACACTGAAGTCACTCCTAGATATGCTCGGGAATATGCTATGCCAAGGATCAAGGCTAGCCACGTTCAAGGCAAGCACATTACCCCTATAGCATTGCACCAGCCCCTGGTGGATTATCCTTATATACAAGACGGACAGAATATTCATATGGCCTATAAAATGTTTGAATCTTACACTGCCTCAGTTATTCCTAAATCACTTCAGGAAACTAATAATTATTTACCCCCTAGCAAGAGGAAGCCTTTCTGTTTTTGTTTGTTTGTTTGTTTGTTTAATTAGGGTTTTTTTCATCATTTTCTGGTTCTGTATAAGAAACTTAAGAATAACATACAATAAGACAAGTGTCATAGTGCCTCCTCCTCCTGACAACGGTCTTTTGCATTCTAACTAGTAAATGGTTTCCTGGGTGATAGATTTGAGTACCGGATTAGCAAGTGCTAGCAAACAGCTTTCCTATTTGACTTACTGTTTTTATATGATTAGCCCTTAGAAAGGATTTTTTGGGGGCTGGAGCAATAGGACATGGGTTAAGATCTTGTCTGTGGCTGACCCTGGTTTGATCCTCAGCACTGCATATGGTCTCCTTGCACTGCATATTGTCCCCTGCAGCACAGAAATTATTTTATGTCGAAGGATAATTTATATTTTGGAACTAATCTCTTCAAAAAGCCTGTTAGTATCTTTTTATATATTAACTTTTTGTTATTGTACATATAAGTTGGGAGCATTGTAGCAATATTAATTTTCTGTTTCTACATAACAAAAGTGAATCTGACACATTTATCATCTCTCATGTTTTGTGCATCAGGACTTTGACTATGGCTTATCTTATCTTTCCTCAAGATTCTCACCAGAATGCACTCCTGACATCAGCTAGGGTCTCATCTGAGCCTTAGCTGGGGATGGATTTATTTTCACTTCATACAGCATACAGCCAAGATCATCTGGCAGCGGCCTCAGTTTCATCCTAGATTTGGACTGGGTGCTGTCTTCAGCTCCTTGCCGTATGAAACTTCTAGCACTACGCCTTGCTTCTCCCAAGTCAGTGAAGGAGAGTGTCCTGGCAAAGAAACTCACCTAGAAAGGCAGTTTGTAATCTACCGTTATCAGAGAGGTGTCCTATCACCCTTGCCATGTTAGTTAGAAGAAAAGTCAGCTCCTACTCTTGCCCAGAAAGATTATGGAAAGGAAATACCAGGAGACTAAAGCCATGAGGGTTGGAATCTGCCTTCCATGGTGTCTTCCCTTGGGAAATGTGTTTGGTTATATAGTTAATCTTTCTGGAAGGGTAAACCAAAACACTTTCCATGTTCTGTTGGTCAGGATGACAGATTCCTTAAGACAAATTACTAGGGATGCTGTTAACAGACAAACAAAACCACAACAACAACAACAAAATGTTGTCTTATAAAGCAGTTAGAGGGAAGAAATTGGTTTATCCTGTGTTTGTTGTTCCTAAAGCAGAACTAGTATCAATGGATGAAGCTTATGGGAAGACCAATTTCAGCTGCATGTAAGAAATATTTGAGCAGTGCAAAATGGTATAGGATGTTCAAGGAAGAGTGAGGCCCTTGTCACTGACATGCCATTTTTTTTGGAGGTGACCTCCATATGTGTGGGCAATTACTGTGAAGTGGAGAAAAAAATGCTGTCTGGAGGTGTCAGGGGAGAACTTTCTCGAATTCTTTTTATGCTTTCCATGCTTCTTCCGTAGTATAGGCTTCTTTTAAGATCTGTCTCATCTGGAAGCCAGAAATAAGTTATCAGACCAGTTTTACTCTTGTTCCCTCTGCGAAGACTGCAGACCAATGCTTTTAAGTAAAAGATGCCACTTAAACTCTTTGTGGATAGTTCTGTATTATTCCAAAATATCCCAGAAGTACACAGATGAAGAAAAACAGTATATAGTGTGTGCTTCTATTCTGTCACTGTCACTGTCCTCCCATTGTTCATCGAGCGTTGTTTTCTCAAGCGGGCCCAGTAACGTCTCCGTTGTAAGACTTTGTTGTTACTGTGTTTGGCATATTGAATACGTCACGGGGAGCTTTCAGGCTTTGCCGTGCGGGCGAGATACTCTTGGTAGCTTGCCGGTGCTTCTATTCTAGAAGGCAGAAACCAATCCCACAGTGACACAAAAAGCCAGAGAGAAGTGCATGATTTAGTGCCTGACCCTGAGTAGCAGCAATATGAGGGAGTTTATTTTTTTGCATTTTCTAGCATTTCATTTTTGTTTGGGGGACACATCTGGCTGTGCTCAGGGATCACTCCTGGTTGTGCTCGGGGGACCATAGTTGGTGCTGGCATTCAGATCACATGCAGTGCCAGTGCCTTAGTCTTTACACTCTCCAGCCCCAAAGTCTGAATTTTATACCAATATTCAACAGGGAGTTTTTCTTTTGTTGGGGCTATATGAGGCAGTGGCCTGAGACTGCTTCCCAGTGGTACTGGGGACTGTGAGGTGCTGGGAATTGAACCGAGAGCTTCCACTTCTCTAGCCCTTTGCATCATCTCCCTGGACCTAAAAGGGACTTTTTAATAATCAAGTTGAATGAAAATAAATTTTAAAACTAGATATCAAGAAAAGTCAAACTGAATAAGGTCATTTTTTTAAAAAAGAATTAACTGTGGAAGGCACAGAAAGATAGAGGTGAAGGTGCTCTCTTGCATGTTGCTGCATTTGTTCCCAGTAACACCTAGAATCCTTTGAGCACTGCTAGGCATTACCCCTGAGCAAAGAGCCAAACATGGCCCCTGAGTACCCCAGGTGTGTCACCAGTGAAGGAAGGATGGAAGAATAGATGGATGGATCCTGGAAATGGCCAATAATTATATGATAGCCAGTATGGTGATTATACTTTGGATATATATCCTATGGCCTGTTCTTAAATTTTGTTTATTTTGTTTTGGAGCCATACCCAGCAGTGCTTAGGGCGTCCTCCTGGCTCTGTGCTCAGGGATCACTCTTGGCTCTGCTCAGGGATCAATCCTGGTGGGCCTCAGTTGACCACCTGTAAGGCAAACACTCTACCTTCTGTAATATCTCTCTGACCCTGTTTTTAATGTTACAATAAAAAAAAAAGTGAGTAACAATTACATACCTTAAAAAGAGTTTGCACCATTGGGTTTCCTCAATTTTTGAAACCTGAGGGAAATGAGCTATATATTGGCCATTAATGCTTCTGTGGCCTACTGCTTGCCCTGTGACCCTGGCTTGTAATCAAGAAGACAGTGGGACATATTAAGTCTGATGAGATTCTATATAGAGCAGTGTCCTGGGATGAAGATCATCCCATTCCCTACACAGACACCCTATCATCATCACCACAGAGCTCACATTCTAAGGAAGACCGGTAATCCCAGGAGTATGGCTGCCAGTCAGATCACTGCACCAGTTTGCTTTGCATGTGGAACTGAGAGTCCTGGGTCTGCTCAGATCCTACAATAGGTACTTACAGTGCCCTTAGAGTCATAAGATGACACTATTAGAAAAGACACAGGTTATCATCTAGTCCAATCTTTGCCTAGTATAGATGATAAATTTGGAATGCCAGATTTAGAACAGTTGGAATAGCATAAGAATACCCAGTGAAGTTCAAAGCTTAGCCAGATGACAAGCTAAAACCACTAAATTTAAGCCCAGAACTCAGCCCATGACTACTGGCTTCTTCATTTTGTACCCCAGAAATTCTAACAGTGATTGAGAAAAGCTTTATAATAAAGAACACTTGGGGGGGAAATTTTAAATACCAGCTGCTATTTAAAAGACCCTATATTTTTCTCTTCTAATTCTTCTCTTTGCTCTTTTTCTCCAGATTGTTGCATCTGTAGTCCAGCATTCTCACATTTCTTCTCTGTCATGTCTTTTTTATGACTATAACTGCAGTTATCACACAACTGACTCCTTTTGCCAAATCGAACTTGGGGAAATTTGAACTCTCTAAACTGATCATAGAATTCTTCATTTCATAGTAGCACTGTAGCACTGAAGCACTGTCTTCCCGCCTGTTCATCAATTGAGTGGTTGAGTGGGCACCAGTAACTTCTCACAACAAATTGTGAGACTTGTTACTGTGTTTGACATATTGAATACACCAAGGGGAGCTTGCCAGACTTTGCTGTGCGGGTGAAATACTCTTGGTAGCTTGTGGGCTCTCCAAGAGGGGCAAAGGAATCAAACCCGGATCGGCTGCGTACAAGGCAAACGCCCTACCCGCTGTGCTATTGCTCCAGCCCCCATTTTATTGTAGCTAGGTTAATTATAAAACATGGTCCAGCTCATTTGTGCTCCTTTTGTGTAACTTCAGTCCAAGAGAATTTTCATTGTAAATAAGATAAACAACAATTGTCATTATCACAAAGAGAAATGCACCGAGGCCAAATATCAAGACACACGATTTCATGATTTACTTTTCTCTTTTTGGGCATGTGCTATTGTGGAGAAGTGGGGGCGTTGTTTTTGCTTATTAAGGAAGTTATCCTTCCCAGCGTCTCTGTGCCAGGTTAATGCCTGGGACCCCATCCTACGTAGTCCTTCACTCATTGGGATTGCAAAACCCTGGCTCCGATGGAAACATTGAGTCCTTTTTTTCCCTAGCCCCACTCCCCAAAGCTCAGTTTCAGTCAGAGCCAGTCTGTTCTACCACTCAGCTTGTCAACCCAAGGTTTGTCACCCAATTAGTTGCCTTGGAGAGGGGAGGAGGTATCATTTGACCCTCCTCCTCCATCCCAGCAGAGGTTTAGGAAATTAGATGGAAACTGGGGATGCTGGACAGCCCACCATCACTCTGAGACCTCCAAGGAACTGTCTGTTCCATGTTTTTGATGCCTTATTTTGATGCCTAAATGTCCAAATTAATTATAACATGAAGTCATGGTGGAAGTTTCACCATTTCCAGTGAGGACTAGAATGTATGCCTAGTAAAGCAAAGGATCAGTTATCTAGTTCCCTTAACACTCTACCTTAGAACTGAGTAGCTTAAAGAAGCACCCGTTCTATTTGCTGATGTGTTTGTGAGACAACAGTTTGGGTAGACGGGTTAAATATGGCTTTCCTAAAACTGAGACTACCCCTGAAGGCATGTGGCACATAGGGTGAGGTGAGTGGGGAAAGGGGTTGGTGGCACATCTAGGGGCCTCCTCACAGACACCCTTGTGTTATCCCAACAGTACAGAGTTACACAGCCCAGTTCAGAGTTGAAGGGGCACAGTCAGAAGTTGTTATCAGTTCCAGGGGGTCACATGGTAATTCCAGAACTATTGTAAATGTCCTACCAATTTAGTCAGTATAGATGAGGGAACTCTGATGTCATTTTGAGACATGTACTGTATCTCATGACTTTTCTCCTCATGTGATGTAAATATACAATAGTTTAACAATGTCATGCGTCAAATAGAGATCTTGATCTTAAGTAACAACAAATAGAAAACTCTTATTTTTTCAGTAAGTATCAGGCCCAGTAGTGCATAGGGGCCACAAGTGCCATACCCCGAAGTGCTCAGGAGCCCAATGGGTGCTGAGGGGCCTCACACCTGCTAAGCCTGTGCTATACCATCTCATGAGCTAGCTCCCCTACCCCCAAACACTATTTCACATTGTTCTTAAGTACAATACGCTAGGGATGATGATATTGCTGTGTTTCAGACCTCATTGTTATGCAAAGCTGCCATCCATGCAGGAGTAATTGCGGATGAACTGGGTGGTCAAATCAGCGTGCTTCAGCGCAAAGGGATAAGTCGATACGAAGGAATCCTGGCCAATGGGGTGCTGTCAAGGGAGTAAGTACTTTGCTTTTTGTTTTGCATGGAAAGTCATCCCAGAGGCATAATTAATCAGTTCACAGTTGTGAAAGAACAGCAAGCCTGTGATACCAAGGATTTGTCAACTGGGAAAACTATGAGTGAGTTCTTAGAGCAGCATTTATGGTCTCTGTGCAGAAGATAAATATAGCAATTAAAGGGAAAGGCTCACCGAGGGGGTCTCTGGGAGGTAGCTCGAGGGCCTGGAATGCATGCCTGGTCCTGGTGTTCCCAACACCAAACTGGGTTGAACATTGCTGGGCAGGACCCATTGCCCACCACACACACATACACACACACACACACACACACACACACACACACACACACACACACCCCACACACATGCGTGCACATAATTAAAATACCATACAGAGCAAAGGAGGAATTTTAGTCTCAGGTGCTTTAGTAAGAGATAATAATGACTTACTCCTTTATTTTTCTCGTTTCTCCATTATGACTAAAGATTCTATAGGAAATAGGAAACCAAAATAAATCTACATAGAACCAGCAAATTCTCCAGAAGAACCCAAGAGACAATTTCTTCATAATGACTACTAGTGGGCAAGAGAAAAATACATATAAATGGCTTTATCAGATTGCTCTTTTAGCTTCGTAAGAAAAAAAAACTTATTAGTGTTTTAACCTTCGCTTTTGATGCTGTCAGGGTTTCTCAGCTTCTAGTGTCAAAGACTTGAGTTCTTAGAACTAAATATAGGCTTGCCTTGAAGTGCAGATGTATATATATATATATATATATATATATATATATATATATATAACATCTGCTCGCCCCAGGAACATGAAGAACCTATATATATATATATATATATATACCTTTTATATATATATATATATATATATATATAAATAATGCGGTTTTGATGGTCCAGAGGGAGGTTCCCCTTGGATGGATGCCAGGGAAGGAAATGCGCTCCTTAGGCCCATCAGTTTGTCCCTTGCTCAGTTTCTGTTTGGTAAATGTTTTACCCTGTTGCAACTTAGTTTCTTATTTGTTGTTGTTAATTGCCTCATGATCCTAAGGACCTGGCATAGGCAGAGGCTTTAGGAATTTGAAGATCCAAGGCAGGGGAAAAAATAGGTTAGGACCTATATCTTCCCTAGTCTCTGAGTCGATCTCCCTCTGCCACCCACGTTTTGCCTTGGTCCCCTCTTATATGCAGAAATACCACATTTTGCTGTCCAATTTTTACAATGGTTTGTAGGTCATGTTAGGTGGTTAAAACATAAACACACACAAACACACACGCTCGCGCTCGCGTACACACACACAGTGGTGGATGGATAGGTCCTAAGTTAGTTAACGTAGTTATTTAGTGAACTTGATGTCATTTTGAGAAAGTTAAGCAGTCCTTCCTTTTCTCCCCTTCTGCTTTTTATATTTAAATGAATCACAGTTTTAACAGTGTTGTGCAAGTACAGGATCTAAGTATTGTAGATGTTCAAATGTTGTGAATCCAAGTATTGTGTATCCTGAGCACTTGTATCATTTGTATCACTTGTCATCCCGTTGATCATGGATTTGCCTGAGCGGGTGCCAGTAACGTCTCCATTCATCCCTGTCAAGTGCTAGTGTAACACAATGACATCTGCTCGCTCCAGGAACATGAAGAGTCTCAAACAGTTTGTTCAGGGTTTTGACAAAGAAGTCTGACCATCTCGTAGGTGGGCAGCCACACATCTTTTTGATGTTCCCCCAATCTCTAGTAACCCAGAGATCACACCCGTAAGACCCACCCTGTTGGTGCCAGATAAATACCTCATAGGCCGACCTCCACTACCCAGCTGCCGCCATACTCCAGGCCACTTTCTGGACACATCATAAGACACTTAATACTCATTTTCCATAATTACCCCACCATATTTGTTGGGGTTCAAATATGGTGTGAACCATAGGAACACCTGCAAAGGCAATTAGAGGGTGCCCTAAAAGCCTCCATCCCGGGGCTGGAGCGATAGCACTGGAGGTAGGGTGTTTGCCTTGCATGCGGCCGACCTGGGTTCAATTCCAAGTTTCCCATATGGTCCCCCGAGTACCTCCAGGAGTAATTCCTGAGTCAAGAGCCAGGAGTAACCCCTGTGCATCGCCAGGTGTGACCCAAAAAGCAAAAAAAGCCTCCATCCCTCTCAGAGAGGCTGGCAAGCTACTAGAGTATTCCGCGTGCATGGCAGAGCCTGGCACGCTCCCTGTGGTATATTCAATATGCCAAAAACAGTAAAAACAATGGGCCTTATTCCCCTGATCCTGAAAGAGCCCCCCAATACAGCAGCATCCATCCTGAGCACAAATCACATATTTAAATTCCAAATAATTTCAACTTAAATTCCAGTTTATAACCTCACAAGTAAATCTTAGACTTTGGGAATAGGGTTGTTGACCGAAGTTCACAGAAGTAGACATTTGAAAGTGGTTTGGTTAGGTCACCGTCATGGAGGAGGTGAGTCTTGAGTTTGATGGAAAGCAGAAACTGGCCACTGGGAGACCCCAGAGGGTAGTGTTAGGCCTCAGGAGGCATAGGAGAGGTGGAGAGTGGTAAACCCAGGCCACTGTACTGGCTAGGTGGGGCGCCCACTGACAATGCCAAGTTTAGGGATGCAGGTGGGATTAAACCAGAGGAGGGTGTTCTGCCTCAGTCTTCACCAGCAATGTAAGCAATGCTGCTTATAAGCTATGAAAGGCACTCAGTCACCAGGAAGGGGCTCAGGCAGGCAGTGTGCAGGCTTACCTCTGTTGCTAGGACCTCCCTGATGACTTCGCCTCCAGAGGTGGTGTTTAGCCATGAGAGTTCCCAAAGTGTTCCTCACCTATTATCTGAATATTCAAAGACAAATTAGTCCCAAAGTTGTATCAGAATATAAGATCTAAAAACATTGTAGCAGGATGTTTTTAAGAAATTTAAATCCTCACTCAAGGAAACAGCATACTCATCTAACATAAATAATACATAGTGTGTGTGCATAGGTATTATATGTATGTACATGTTTCATGATGTTTTTGCTTCCAACTCTTTGGAATATTTAATTTTGTAGCTCAATTTATAGTAAAAATGCTTCTGTACAGCAAACTCTGTCAGCTTGAACTTGACATTTAAGAATTTCTTTCTTTCTGTCTTTTGTGTATGAAATCATTTCTATTAGAATCTGTTTCTAAAAGCTACAGATTGTGGCCTAGACTGTTGAGTGCTGCTAACTCCTAGAAGAAATAAAGAAATAACCTTTATATATATAAATAAACAAATAAATATATATCTTTTTCAGACTCTTGCATGTGATTGGATACACTTGGTTGGATGCTTTATTTTACTTTTAAAGAGAAGTTATTTTTAAAAATCGAATAAATTTTTATTGTCCTCACAATCACTTCTACATCAAACTGGGCTTTGTATATTTGAAGTCACTACAATGTAAATAAAAATTAAACTTTGATGCAATGAAAAAAAGAGGGTAGAAATCTAAAACTGTTAATGAATTTTTAAAAGCTTTGCTCCACATACCATTTAGTTTGAACAAATTGTTCCAATTTTTTTGTTGGTGGGAGTAGACAGAAAGTCCAAAATTACATCAAGGGTTTCTTCTGTGAATTTGTGCTGACTTTTTGAACTGAAAAAAAGAGTAAACTGTATGCTCATACAGTCTGTTCTACTCATTTGGATTCCCAATTCTTCAGGGAGCAGTTGTTTTTATCTCTGCTGTTTTGCTTTAGGGAACCACTGGACACTCGGTCATTGAACTCCTATTCCCACACATGATTGTTTGGTGTTCAGGAAAAAACACAGAAGGAAGCATTACAGCTGAGGAGGAAGGAGCCCCTAAAGTAAATATTCAAGGTTCTTTGGAAGTCATCCTGGGTCAGGGCACTTCCTTGATTCGAGGAGCCCAGAATGGAATCAGGAAGCGGGTCTGACCTCATACAGAGGATGATGGCTTGAGCCACCGGCCAGGAAGGCTTCTCTCTCTGTTTACATCAGTCTATTTTTGATTGCTTCTATTCACTTCTGGGAAGACTGGCAGTTCCGCTTATCTGATTGAATACAGTCACCCCAAAGTGTAAATGCCTTGAGTTGATCCTCCATTAACTTTTTAGGGCATGGGAGGGAGGTGGGGGGGAGGGAGGTCACACCTGATAGTGCTGAGGGGCTACTCCTGGCTCTGTGTCAGGGGTCATTCCAAGCAGTGCTCAGGGAACCATATGCACATATGCAGTGCCAGGGACAAAATTTTTGTTTTGAAGAGATGATTACCTGTAGACTTCTCTTTGGTTGTCTATTGAGTTTAATAGACCAAAAGGAAAACATACTTTAACCGACAGTGCAGGAAAGCCAGGCACAGGCCAGGTAGAAGCAGAGTACCCCAAGCATCTTCTCAGGATTCACTCCAGTTCCTCTTCTGCCCAGTTTCTTGTTTTTAGCCACAAGAGAAAAATTTTAAAAGTTTCTGTTTCATAACAGTGGAGGTAAGCGTTGACCCCCAGAATTGCTGCAGAATTCTTTGGGCTTATTTAGGACAAATTTCAAGTATGATAGGAAAGAAAAAAGACTAAATGAATCAAAGAGAGGCTCTAAATGCATCTTAATTTAAATTAATTATGAGTAACAACTATGTGTACCTTTTCTTAAGAGTCAGGACAACTGGATCCTCATTGCAGCATTGGCACTAAATTTGGGCAACTCCCAAGATCTAGAACTTTTCTAAAATTTCTCAGATGAAAAATGCTTGGTGCCTGTACTGTCTTTAGCACTAAGATATTTAAAAGTATCTTGATGTGGCTATAGAGTCTTTTCCTGAGAGTAATAAACAAACTGAAACACAAAAATGCATTTCATATCATCTGTCACTTAAAACAAAACAAAACTTGAGGGCCAGAGAGATAGTAGAACGGGAACTTACCTTGCTCTTGGCCAACATGGCAAGTTTTGATCCCTGTCATCCTATCTGGTACCCTGAGTCCTGAGTGCAGAGCCAGGAATAAGCCCTGAACACCACAGGGTATGACCCAGAATCATATATTGTTAATAGTAGTTACTGTCACTGTCACTGTCCTCCCGTTGTTCATCGATTTGCTTGAGTAGACCCAGTAACATCACCATTGTGAGACTTGTTGTTACTGTATTTTGGCATATCTAATACATCACGGGTAGCTTGCCAGGATTTGCCATGCGGGCGAGATACTCTTGGTAGCTTGCCAGGCTCTCTGAGAAGGGCGGAGGAATCGAACCCGGGTTGGCTGGGTTGGCCTGGTCACCTGTGTGCAAGGCAAACGCCCTACTACTGTGCTATCGCTCCAGCCCAATAATATTGAAAACAAAAATAGTAGTAGTAGTAATAATAAAACTTTGGTGGGAAAGTGTTTATACTCGTGTTTGAAGTACTTTGGGAGCTATTTGTGAATTTTGAAGTTTAGTACTCTATTCATTATTGCCATTATAATCCAGAATTAAACATTTAAAATAATAAACAGTACTTGATAAAATAACTCACCACAGCAGTGACCTCTACATCTGTTCTCTGTCTGTATTATCCAAAATAGTAAATCCTATGCACATAATATTAACCTTGATGATTCCAGGTTTTCATTTATTCTATGTCATTTTGCAGCATTACACTGGAAAGGAACATTTTTTTTTTGTAGGAGTACTGCTATTTATTCAGCCACTGATTAGCTGATTGAATTGGGCATGAACTCCACCTTAATTTTATTTATTTATTTATTTATTTTTATATTTATTTACTGAATCACTGTGGGAAAAGTCACTAAACTTTCAGGTTTAAGTCTCGGTCATACAATGATCAAACACCTTTCCCATCACCAGTATTCATTTTTCACCACCAAGAACCCCAGTATACCCCCCCAACCCCTCCAAATGCCTGTGAGGCAGATGATTTCTACTTAACTCTTCTCTACATTGATTACATTCATTATTTAGACAAAAGATGCACCATTATTGTTTAGAATTTCCCCCCAAACAATCAGAATTGCTGAAAAGGCATTGTGAAATATTTTGTTTTCTATAGCTGGTTTTTCTATAGCTGGTTATGAGAATCATATAATGTCACGCGGCCACGATTTTTGATTTCTGCAAAGAGCCAGATAATTACGAGATTGGTTTCTGTGTGTCTGGTGTTATGGCCATGCCAGAGAGCCACTCGTGGGGGGTAACTCGTGACCTCGGTAGGGCATGAATGACGTACCGGTACCACCCCCCTTCCCATGAGACTGCGATTACCCCGTCACCGCCGGCTAGTACCTGGCTTTCCTATAAGCTCTGAGGCGGCGGCCACCTTGCTGCCAGGGAGGAAAAAGGTGGAAGGGAGCAACACCCTTTTCCTCCTGGGGAGGCATGGTGCCTTAGTTTAAAACATGGTCTGTTCACTTTTCTTCTGCAAGCTGCTGGGCTCTGGACTAAGTCCTTTTGCCTCTGGAGCCATGGCCATGCCAGAGAGCCGCTTGTGGGGGGCAACTCATGACCTCGGTAGGGCGTGAAGAATGAGCCGGTACCCTTCCCATGAGACTGCAGTTGCCCCATCACTGCCGGCTCGTACCTGGCTTTCCAGTAAGCTCTGAGGTGATGGCTACCTTGCTGCCAGGGGGGGAAAAGGCGGAAGAGAGCAACACCCTTTCCCTCCCGGGGAGGCATGGCGCCGTAGTTTAATGCATGGTCCATTCACTTTTCTGCTGCAAGCTGCCGGATTCTGGATTAAGTCCTTTTTCCTCTGGAGCCATGGCCGTGCCAGAGAGCCGCTTGTGGGGGGCAACTCGTCACCTTGGTAGGGCATGAAGGATGAGCCGGTACCACCCCCCTTCCCATGAGACTGCAGTTGCCCCGTCACCGCTGGCTCATACCTGGCTTTCCAGTAAGCTCTGAGCCGGTGGCCACCCTGTATGCAGTCCAGATGCATTTCTGCCAAAAGCCACTGGGTTTCAAGATTTGTTTCTGAGTCTCCGGTATCATGGCTATTAATCAGCTTGATCTGGAGCCAAGGAGGCCATTTGTAGGCAGTGACTCGGGGTCTCGCTGGGATGGGGAGGAAAGGGCCTGTTTCACCTCCATCTGGTGAGGCCCCACATGTCTCGTCACTGCAGGCCCAAACCTGACTGTCCAGTGGCCTCTGGAGGATGGTGGTCACCAAGCTGCCAGGGGGAACAGGCCAAAGCACGAAACCTATTCCCACCTGGAGTGACCCAGCACCAGTAACCTACTGCAGGAACAGGATGCATTTCTGCCAAAAGCCTTTGGGTTCCGAGATTTGTTTCTGAGACTCTGGGATCATGGCCATTAAGCAGTTTGATCAGGAACCATAGAGGCCATGCCTCCAATTATATAGCTGAGCCAAAGTTGGTTTGTGGGTGTGTCTCCCACATACCTAACTTTTGGACGTTTACTTTCTTAGTAAACTTTGCCCCAAGTTTTTGAGGTCTGGCCAAAGGGACAGCAGCAATTTTGGGGTATCTGAAAGTTTGACATTGCCATCAGGCTGCTGATGCAGTCACCTCACAGGTACAGATTGACCTGCCGGCGGCACCATACCCCCATGGAAAGGAACATTTTAAAGGTTAAATATGTCCTTGGGTCTTAGTAATCTGTTCTGCACCAGAGGAGACAATTGGAGAGCAAGGGCATTTGATAAATTCACTTGGAAGAGTAATGCAAGAACTCCAGGCCCCAGAAGCTAGAGGTTCAGTACCTGAAGAACAGTAGTAGGACTGTCCTCTAGGGAGAGCCCAGTTCAGACGAACTCACTGAGAAGCTCTGAGGTTCCTCCAGCTCTACCCTGAGGTCTAGAAGCAGGATTTCTTTCTGGCTTCGCTGCTGCAGTAATTAAAGGTCTGATTAGACAGAGTGTGGGCTGAGACTGTCTGGAGCAGCACTGCTGGGCCAGGCCATAAGATCCTCCTTCTGAGAGCAGTGTATGGAGAAGGCATCTGGCAAACGACATGTTAGTGTTTTCTAAAAGTGGTCAGGCTAAGAAGCCTTGGTGGTCCTTGATTGGTGACAAGTGGGATGCTTTAAGATGAACATAGGAGCAGGAGGAATGAGTATTCAGGGTCCTTTCTGTCTCCATCACCACCCTTTGTGAATTGCTAAGGGGATTAAGGGGTCTCCTGAGACCGTATAGGTGCACAGTCCTTCCCCTAACCAGGAGACATGTGGAAATAGCACAGAATCATGATTCAAAAGCAAATTCTCAGAGTTCCAATCATTGCCATCTCGGAAATGTAGGGACCTTGCTTACCTTTAGTGTGATAAGTGTGAGCTATAATAGACCAACAGCAAATATAAGACCAGTAGCCTTGGCAGGTACTCTGAGGTATGAGGAGCTCCATAAGCTTTTTACTTAGTGTCAATTCACTTATTAAGATCCAGTTAACCAACTCACTTCCTTTCTATTTGTGTTTGTTATTTCAGTGGTTCCCTGTCAGACAAGCGATTTCTGTTTACCTCCAATGGTAAGGATTCTTTTCCTTAAGAAGTTGATATTCTGAAATGTTTAGTGGTAACTTATTCTTGCATAGTTTAAAAGCTTTTGTTTTCTTTTTTTCTTCAGATCATATAGTATCAAAATGCTGTGAATTAAAGTGCAAAAGTTTTGCAAACTTTTGCCAAAAAGAATGACATAATATGAAATTGCGATGCTTTTAAAATAAATTCTTTATGTTTGCTTTTAAGAGGAAAAATGCTTTCTTTGTGGATCTCATGAATAAACTTACTAAATGTGACTATATAAAACTAAGGCTTTTTCACACCTTCATCATGGTTTAAACAGTTTCCTCAGAGATCACACAATAATAGATAGCCAGGATTTGCTAGACTCTAAGAACAGACAATAGCCAAAAGCTGGGTTTTTGAACACCAAAAGACAGGATTTGGGAACAGATAGCTGTAACCCCAAACCACTCTAAAAATGACTCCACATGTTTTCAAAATAATGGAACCATTTATTTGGTCATTATTTTTTTATTATTGGGAAAGAGGCATTTGGGTCATTGAAAAGCTAGTAAATGGTTGATTTGATATCCAAAATGAAGTTACCCAATTATTTGGATGATATGGGGGTGCTTTATTTAACTTTCATTTTTATATCTGTATCAGTATTATTTTCTTGTTTCCTTTTACCCACCTGACCCCCACCCCAGGTTGTAGTACATCCTTGAGTTTGGAACCTGACAAGCAAATTAGAACTTCTTCTTCTTGGAAATGGGTGAATGAGATTGAAGAGCAGATTCATTGGTCTCCTGGCCAGGCCCAACTTCAGGACCAAGGTCCATCCTGGGCTTCAGCAGAAAGCAACCAGAACCCAGAGCAACAAGAGTGGCTGGAGATCGATTTGGGAGAGAAAAAGAAGATAACAGGTATTCAGATCCAAGTGCACCTTCACAAAGCAAAGTAAATCTTGTGTGACATTGTTTTCAGTTCATAAGAGTCTATATGTAGATTATAAGTATGGATGTGTGAATTAGAGAACTGATATCTCAAGGGTGAAACTATCTTTATAGCACATCTTCCTCATCCTGATTCTCCCAGAAGGGAGCATAAAACGAGGCTCCCATAGCTGTGCCACTTGACTCTGCGCCAGGCTGTTTTCACTCAGGGCGCTCCAGAGGTGGGCGGGTGAGAGCCCTCCCTGCTCCAGGGGACTCAGCCCCGGCAGCTGACCTCTACTACCCAACCGCTGCCATGCTTCGGGCCGCTTTCCGGACACATCATAAGACACTCCCTACCCATTTTCCATAATTACCACACCTTATTTGATGGGGTTCAGACAGTAGGCAACAAATCATAGAAATATATAGATATATATAGATATATATAGATATATCTTGGAGAACCCAGCAAGCTACCAAGAGTATCCCACCCACACAGGCATAGCCTGGCAAGCTCCCCGTGGCATATTCGATATGCCAAAACCAGTAACAATAATAGGTCTCAGTCCCCTAACCCCGAAAGAGCCTCCAATCGTTGGGGAAAGATGAGTAAAGAGAGGCTGCTAAAATCTCAGGGCTGAGGGGCTGGAGTGATAGCACAGTGGGTAGGGTGTTTGCCTTGCACGCAGCCGACCTGGGTCCGATTCCCAGCATCCCATATCGTCCCCAAGCACCACCAGGAGTAATTCCTGAGTGCAGAGCCAGGAGTAACCCCTGTGCATCACTAGGTGTGACCCAAAAAGCAAGAGTAAAATAAAATAAATAAAATCTCAGGACTGGGACGAATAGAGACGTTACTGGCGCCTGCTCAAGTAAATCGACGAACAACAGGGTGACAGTGATACAGTGATGACACATTTTCAGCATGAAAGCACTCCTTTTTGATCAGTTTTGAAATGCTAATAAGATTAAGTTGGGCTATAAAATAATTTGAGATTTCAAATGGGGGTGATAAATCTAAAGTTATACTATATATTAAATGTAAGATATTTTGAAAACTAACTTATAAATATTATTTTACAAGGAATTAGGACCACAGGATCCACACAGTCAAATTTCAACTTTTATGTTAAGAGTTTTGTGATAAACTTCAAAAACAACTCCAAATGGAGGACCTACAAAGGAACAATAAATAAAGAAGAAAAGGTAAGAGATATTCTGGAGGAGAGAACTAATTAGAATAGGCCTCCAGCTATTTGAAAAGAAATGTTCTGTGTTCAGAAATCAGATCAACAGTCCCACTTTAGTTTGAAAACATTCCATGTTTGCAACACCTTGTATCATAATTTTTTGTTTTTATATTTCTGGTTTTAGGGCCACACCTGGTTATGACCAGGGCTTACTCCTGGCTCTGTGTTCAGGGGTCACTCCTGGTGGGCTTGGGGAACCATATGGGGTGCAAGGGAAGTGACTAGCCTGCTGTACTATCTCTCCCGCCCCATGTCTTTATTAGTAAGAGTGTGTACAAAGAATTGGAGAGATAATACAGTGGGTAGAATATTTGTCTTGCATGCAGCTGAACCTACGTTCTGTACCTGGCACCAGGTATGGTCTCCGGAGCCCTGCCAGGAATGATCCCTGAACACAGAGCCAAGAGTAATCCCTGATTACTGCCATGTGGGTGTGACCCAAAAGCCAAAACTAAAAAATAGTAGGCTTAAAAGTGACACAGGCAGATGATGCTGGTTTTGGTTTCATATGACCAGGTATGAATAGGCTGATAAATAAACACCAAGTAAATATTACCTTCACATAAAAGCAATTTCTTTCTGTAGGTATTTCAGGGAAACTCTAATTTTCGGGATCCTGTGCGGAATAATTTCATCCCTCCCATTGTAGCTAGATATGTGCGGGTTGTCCCCCGCAAGTGGCACCAGAGAATAGCCATGAAAGTGGAGCTCTTTGGTTGCCAAATCACGCAAAGTAGGACTCAGGGTAAGTCACAAGTTATTTAATTCCATTCATCTCCTTTCACGACTTGCTATTTCTCAGGTGATTTCTCCAGCATCTCCTCTCTCGGGTGATGATTTATTGGTGTGGCATAAAACAAATCCAAACAATGTTGGGTCACATAAAGAAGAAGATGAGATCACGATGAGGTCCACCTGCTCTGAAAAAAAAAAGTCACTTATCAGAGTTGTTACCACTGCATGGTACCCTAAAGGGTAGAACTTGAACTCCATCCAGTGTTACAGTAGCTTTAACAAAAGCTTTTTCTCTGTCACAAAAATCTGGAAGCTGGTTGGTCCAGAGATATCTATGCATGTGTAAGATTATCTATGTCCACAACTGTAGCACTGTAGCACTGTCCTCCCGTTGTTCATCGATTTGCTCGAGCAGGCCCAGTAACGTCTCCATTGTGAGACTTATTTTACTGTGTTTGGCATATCAAATGCATCACGGGTAGCTTGCCAGGCTTTGCTGTGCGGGAGAGATACACTCGGTAGCTTGCCAGGCTCTCCGAGAGGGTATCCACAACTATTCATTGTAATATTATCAGCAGAAAAGGTATTGTCTTTCAACCACTAGGTAAATATTTTATAGGGAAAAAGTCAGCTCTAGAATACATTGTACTTAGCCATATGTGTGAAAAGAAGGAACAGAGAACAAATAAGGGAACTTGGGGCTATGACTCAAGTAGTAGAACATATGCCCAGCATCTGTGAGTCACAGAGTAGGACCTCCACACCTTCCCCATGCTCCCCATGCTATCTGATTTGGACATGTTGGTCCCCAAGCACCTCAGTACCCCGTTATGCATTGCTGGACCCCAGCACCAAATGTAGCCATCACCTCTGTCAAAAAACCAAGACAGCAGATTGGGATTTCTGGAAGAAAGGGGATGACTGGATGCACTGGAGACTCCTCTTTATATTTTCGACTAAATGTCACTGCCACTGTCACTGTCCTCCCATTGTTCATTGATTTGCTCGAGCGGACCCAGTAACGTCTCCATTTTGAGACTTGTTCCTGTGTTTGGCATATTGAATACATCACAGGTAGCTTGCCAGGCTTTGCTGTGCGGGCGAGATACTCTGGGTAGCTTGCCCAGCTCTCTGAGAGGGGTGGAGGAATCAAACTCAGGTTGGCCATGTTGGCTGCTTGCAAGGCAAACGCCCTACCCACTGTGCTATCGCTCCATGATGAAGTTAAATATGGACCTGAGGGCGGGAGGTGCAGGCAGCCCCGGGAGAGAGTGGTGGCTGCAGACAGAAGCCTGCTCTTTGTGCATCTGGGAGAGGAGGGGTTAGGGCTGGAGGAAACCTTTAGGGCTAGTAATGGTTTAGCAGGGGGACCGGGAGACACCTGCTCCCCTGGTGGTGACTTATGGTTTAACTTGTACCTTCTGGTTTCTGAGGGCAGCTGGAGTTTTGACCTGTGTGTGTGTGTGTTTGTGTGTGTGTGTGTGTGTGTGTGTGTGTGTGTGTTATTATGGAGCTACTTCAGGACTGGGTCTGAGTCTGGGGGCTTCTCTTAGGAAAGGCTCCCCTCTGCATATGACCTTGGATTCCATAGAGTGATGGTTGTCTCCCAATGCCAGGATTGTGTTCACCACAAGTGCTTCCTGTCTCTGAACAGAATCAAGCACTGTAGCACCGTCCTCCCATTTTTCATCAATTTGCTCAAGCAGGCCCAGTAACGTCTCCATTGTGAGACTTGTTGTTACTGTTTTTGGCATATCAAATACATCATGGGTAGCTTGCCAGGCTTTGCTATGCAGGCGAGGTACTCTTGGTAGCTTGCTGGGCTCTCTGAGAGGGATGTAGGAATTGAACTCGGGTCGGCTGTGTGCAAGGCAAATGCCCTTCCCGCTGTGTTATCACTCCAGCCCAGAATCAAGCACACAGAGATTAAATTCCAGGTATAAGGGAAGCATTTTATTTTTTTTAAATTAATTTATTTTAAAAATTGAATCACCGTGAGATCCACAGTTAAAAGTTGTTCATTATTGGGTTTGAGCCATACAGTGTTCCAATTGAAGACCACTCCAGGCATTGCAGATCACTCTCCCCATCCCTTCCCATGATGGCTCAGAAGGCCACAACCTGGCACCTACACCTAAAGGGAAACCCACCCTCAGCTCCAAGCCCCTCTGCTGTTTGCGCTTCTCCCAGAGAGTCAGGCAGAAGCTGGGGGTCAGGGCTGAGGCCTGTGGAGGGCTCACTGCTGAGGGAAGCAGTCTGGGACACTTTAAAAAGCCAGAGCACAGTTGGGATAGAGAAGGGACCGTTATGACAAAGATAGTTGGAAATGATCGCTCTGGATAGGAACTGCATGCTGAAAGTTGGTAAAGGAACAAACACGATAACCTCACAATATCTGTGTGACAAATCATGGTACCCAGAAGGAGACAGAGAAAGTAGGAGAAGGGAAGGAAGGTGGAAGGAAGGGAGGGAGAGAAAGGGAGAGAAGGAAAATGCCTGCGATAGAGCCATAGAGGAACACTGAGGGAGGTGGGTGGCAGAAGAGAAACTGCAGTCATTAGTGGTGGGAAATAGACATTGCTGGTGGAAGGCTGGGTATTGGATCATTGTATGACTGAAACCTGATCATGGACAGTTTTATAACTGTATCTCACAGTGACTCAGTAAAACCAACAATAGCAGCAATAATAATGATAATAAAAACTAAAGGCTAGAACAGAGGGAGGGGGGAATCTTCAGGGGAAGTGGACAGTCCCCTCCCTCCAACAGTAGATTTTCTACTTTCCACTGCTGTGGCTTCTATGCTGTACAAACAGACCTGCAGTGCTGTAGCTTCTACGGTGTGCAGACATGGACCTCCAGTCGTCTAAACCAGAGGTTCCCAAATTTATTTGCCCTACAACCCCCTTTTCAGGGAAAAAAAAAAGTCAAGAGTTTCCCCCAGGAACTTTAAGTGAACAAACAATACCAGCTCCCCTGCCGTCTCCAAACCTCTCCTCCACCCGTATGCAAGGCTACCTTTTTCCAGTGCCCCTTGGAGATATTGCCACCTTGGGGAAACCTAAACAGTAAATAAAGCTCCATTACATCCCACGGCCAACAAATCTGATTAAACAAATATTCCCACTGAGGGAAGACAACCACTCAACTTGCTAATCAAATGAAGAAATAGGCTTTGCCTGCGTGGTAGAACCAAGCAAAATCCTGCGGTAAAGTTCAAATGTAGTGAAACTGTCTAAAGAAAAGTTTGGAACAACTAACAATGTTAAATAAATTCAGAAAACAAGGGTTAGAGCTATAGTACAGCAAGTGAGGTGCTTACCTTGCACGCAGCCGAGATTTGATCACTGACAACACATGGGGTTCCCCAAGCACTGCCAGGAGTGATCCCCGAGTGCAGAGTTAGGAATAAGCTCTGAAGCTCTGAGCACTGATGGGTGTGGCCTGAAACTCCCCAAATCAGAAAACAGTGAACAACCAATGCCAGGTCTGTAAGAAGGACAGACTCTCTATGAAGTTTCAGACTGAAATAACGGGCTTAAAATACAACAGCCAAACTGAAGATACAATAGACTGGCTTAACAGTGAATAGGAAGAAACAGTGAACAGACTTGGTGAGTCGGAAAACCTGGTAGTGTAATATGCACAAACAGATCAGCAAAGAGGGGAAGAAAAAAACACTAGCACTGTAGCACTGTCCTCCCGTTGTTCATCGATTTGCTCATTGATTTGCTCGAGCAGGCACCAGTAACATCTCCATTGTGAGACTTGTTGTTACTGTTTTTTGCATATTGAATGTGCCATGGAGAGCTTACCAGACTCTGCCATGCAGGCGGGATACTCTCGGTAGCTTGCTGGGCTCTCCGAGAGGGGTGGAGGAATTGAACCAGGGTCGGCCACGTGCAAGGCAAACGTCCTACCCACTGTGCTATGGCTCCAGCCCCTGAATGCACCCGATCTCATCTGATCTCAGAAGGGGATGAAAAAGAACCATTGAAAATGTGGGAACAGTGACGCATTTTATTTCCCCCCTTCCCTTCCTTTCCTGTTGTGCTCAACAGGGGCTGCACTGCACCCCTTTAGTCAGGGCGCTCACACACACCTGGTTGTGGTGAGACTGGCAGTTGCTCGTGGCTGCCAGGATCACAGCCAGCAGAGCTGCCAGGCTCCAACAGCAAACCTGGGGCCTGACAGTCCAAGGCTCAAGGCTCGTGCGTTGCATGTAGTATTACAACTTTGATCCCAGCACCACTTGGTTCCCTGAACATTGCTCAGAGGCACCTAGTACCACCTGGAACTCCTGTTCCTGCAGGGCCTGAGCATTGAACCGCGAGCCCTGTTGGCAGAGAATAGCAGGGAGGGCGCCCGCTTCCTAAGCACAACTCGGAGGCTCCCTCCCCCACTTCCAAACACTCTCTCTCTCTCTCTCTCTCTCTCTCTCTCTCTCTCTCTGTCTCTCTCTCCCTAAAAAAAACAAATGGCAGAGCTGCCAGGATCTAGCCCCCACACAGGGATGCAACTCTCCGTCAGTGCTCACTCTGGACCATGAAGACAACCCCAGGTCCTCAGCTGCCCCCTTTTTTTTTTTTAAATAGAAGGGCTTAACAGCCTGTTGTCTCATGTATCCTAGTGGGAATGCTACTTAGTATCAAGAATTCCCTGCACCTTTTACAGTATAGACCAAAGGCACCACTTTGATTAGCCAGGATTGAGCTGGGGGCAGGAAAGATTTATTTTTGAGTTAAAGTAGGAGCATAATGGGGCTGGAGTGATAGCATAGTGGGTAGGGCGTTTGCCTTGCACGTGGTCAATCCGGGTTCGATTCCCAGCACCCCATATGGTCCCCTGAGCACCGCCAGGAGTAATTCCTGAGTGCAGAACCAGGAGTAACCGCTGAGCATCACTGGGTGTGACCCAAAAAGCAAAAAAAAAAAAAAAAAAAAAATAGCATCATATCAAGTTTCATCGTGGTGGTGTAAATTTTAAGGTTTTTTTTCTTCCTTTTTTTCCCTGTCCCTTTGTTGCTGTTGTTACAGTGGCCTGGGTTGATTATATTTGGTTATGGTGCTCCCTGGCTAGGGAGCATCTGAGATCACGCATTTTATTGTGGTGTCAGAGATCTCAAGCAGTGTATGACCAGGATAATCTTCTGCATGTGGGATGGTGCTGGGGATCAGACTCATGACCTCACACTTGCAAGGCAGGCAATTTGCCACTAAATCATCCCTTGTCTCCTGGAACCAGCTTTTAAACTTACCTGTCAAGTCTGGTTTTGTGGCATTTAATATTCCAGCTACAAGTTCAGAGTACTTGTTAATTCTTAAGAAACTTTAGAAACTGCCTTTGGGCAAGAAAAAATTAGCCAGGATTCTGAATCTCCTCTTTTTGCTTTCCAGTATCGATATTTGCCTAAGATACTTCATTTTCCCTATGTGATGAAGATGTTTAAAAGTCAGTGTTGAGTTTTAGATCATCAAACTTGGTTGCAGTTCATTTATATTGGATTGTGTGGCTTTCCCCCTTTCTTAGGAATCAGTATGACAACTATTGTTATCCTACTGGTGTCGCTCGCCCTGCTGATTGTTGGAATGGGGATCTTTGCAGTCCTGAGAAAGTATGTGACTTTACAGTTTTTAATTTCTTCTCTAATTCTATAAACATAAAACCAAAAAGTTTATTCTGATGCTTCTGTGAAGAAGTCATTATTTCTTTTTCTGAGATAAAATGTCAGCTTATATATTAGGGCAGGGGTGGGGTTAGGGTCACACCTGGTGCTGCTCAGGACTTATTTCGGTCTCTGTGCTCTGGGAGTCACTCTTAGCAGAGCTGGGGGACAATTTTGCAAAACCGAGTGGGGCTTGTACAAGGCAAGTGTTTTAATCTCTATACTATCTTTCAGGCTCATAGCTTATGGTTTGGTGGTTTGTTTGTTTGTTTGTTTTACGTTGGATAGAGGTAGACAATGGCAAGTTGTTCTTTAAATAAATAGTGCTGGTCATTTAGATACCTTTTCATGTTTTGTCTCAATAGGAGGAAGAAGAAAGGAAATCCTTATGGATCAGTTAAGACTCAGAAAACAGGTTGGTTAAAAACTTGGCTCTCAAGTTTTATTTTGTCTTGAGGATCTGATGATTAAAAGCATGGTCTAGGTTAGGGATGTGGTTCACCAGAAGAGCACATGCTTTACATATATGGGATCATGGGTTTCATCCCCAGCACTGCAACCAGCCAGTTGATCAACAAACAAGCAAGCTCCTTCTGGTTTGTGACCCACAATTAAATTGTTAAAAAAAAAAAAAAAGAAAAGAAAAGAAAAGCAGGAATATGTTGCATCCTATCTTTTTATATTAGAGTTTTATAGCCAGTTTGCTTCTGTACCGCCTCATTACATCATGTGCCAGTATTCAGTTGGGGAAGTGTGGGCCCTGGAACTTAGGCCATCACACTTCCCGTCGGAGTCATCACAGCCCCATTTGTCCTGGCTCCATTGTACACAATCTGGAAAAGTGCAGGAAGGAGTAGGAAGGGCTTATGTTTCAGGTTCAGAGAAAGGATCTCTGCACACAGGATACCCAAAGCAAAGAGAGAGCAGCAGGGAAGGACCCCTGCATCTCCGTGACCACCCGGGACTCCACCTCTACAGCTGCAACCAGCGAGCTGTGTTGACTCTGGGTCACAAATGCCCTGGTAATGCAGGTTCTGAAAAGCACACCAGGGCAGTCTAGCGCAGGGACGCCCTGGGACCCTTGGGCACATAAGATTCCCATCACAGAGCAGTGGAGACAGGGTTGGGCTCTTCCTTGTGTGGGTGTAGTGACCTCAGCCCTCCATGACATTTTAGCCCTTGCAGCCTCGCACTGATGTGGTCACCAGCAAAAGGCAGCCTGGCCTCACACATGGGTGAACACATTGAGGAGTACAGGCATGTACTTCTGCAATACTAAGTGCATTTCCTGTTCTTTATTCCAGATTGCTGGAAGCAGATTAAATATCCCTTTGCCAGACATCAGTCAGCTGAGTTTACCATCAGCTATGATAATGAGAAGGAGATGACCCAAAAGTTAGATCTCATCAGGAATGACATGACAGGTAAGAGTTGTGTCCTGGGTTGTGCTGTTGGCTAAGGGGTGCAGCTTTTAGACAGGGAGAGGGTGAAGCTACTGAAAATCCTTTGTTTTGATGATGGGGTCTAGTCAGTCAGTAAAGTGGATTTTTTTTTTCTGAGTAGAGTGACAAACTGACACTGAGCTGTTTCTCTGAGGCCCCAGAGGGGAGGACTGAGTGGCACCACTCAAATCTCAAAGCTAATCCATCAACTTCCCTCTTTTCTCTCATCTCTGTTGCTCAGAGAGGATGGTTGGGGGTGGGGGATGAGCGCTGCACTTACTTGGTTGCTTATTTGGTTTTTGTACTAAGGTTTTGATTAAGGTACTACTAGGAAAGAGGAACTAGAAAGATGAATTCACTGTATTATTTTTCCCTTGAGGAAAAAGGAGATAGGAGATAAAGGAGCCTGGCCGGCATTAGAATGGCCTCTGTCCCTGACAAGCCATTATTGAGAGTTTCTCACCTGGTCTGTAGGAAACGGATCCCTTGTTTCAAACCTAGGGGCCAGAGAAATAATATAATGGCTAAGGGCTCCAGGGAAGAGGGAAGGAAAGGGAAGGGAGTGGTGAGAAGGGAAGGAAAGGGGACGGGGGATGGAAAATGGAAGAGAGACCCGGGAGGGCAGGGAAGGGCAGGGCCAGACCTGCTGAAGCAGAAATTTGGGAAGGGTCACTTGGACCACTTCTGAAGGGGAAAGGAAAAGAGCCTCTCTCCCACCCCAATCCATCTTGCTCCTTGCTGCCAGCAATTCTAATTCTACCTGGCCGGTATAGCAGAGAGAGGGGAGAGCTCCCTGACTGTCCTCTTCCTTTCCTTCTTTAGTTTCAGCCACTCCTCCTTCCACTTACAGGGTCCCTCTTGGATTCCTTAAGTGCCTCCTGTCTCCTTTCATTCCTGTCTCTCTCCTGAGCAGTCTCCCTGACTCCATGGCTCCCCCAGGACCTCCCTTTGCATGTCAGCCCAGCCAGTGTCAAGTTCCTCTGGAATCCACAATGAAGCCCTTTGTCCTCTTGCCATACAAGCCCAGTGCATTCTTTCCTCACTCTGTACCCCAGACTTCCACTTAATGCTTAATGTCTGGGAAGTGTCCTTGGCTCCCCTCTTCCCTCATACCCGCCCCTCCCCTTATTGGTAATGAATTCCTCACTTCCGGTCCCCAGAGTGTGGCTTTTCCAAAGCCACTGCTGCCCCCTCCACCCCCGCCTTACTTCTGTTTTCTTTCTCTAACTTCTCTCCTTCACTCAGCCTCTAAAGATACCTCTAAACTGTGCCAGTATTTTATTTAGAGGTAGTCAGCCAAACTCTTTAGCAAGGCACTCTGAGCTTCTTTCCAGCTGAAAAACAGCACACATTTGGGACTTGTGTTTGAATTCTGGCTCTGTTGGCCGGCCGATGAGTGATATGATCTTGGAAACTCAGCTTACTCTCTCACTAGTCCAGTTTTCCATTGGTAAAATGGGATAATAGTCTTTACTTCATAGTACGTTTACTTTCTTTTGCGCATGTAACTAATTAATACTTTAAGATTTGGGGCCCAGCAGGAGTAAAGACTCATTATCATCACTGTGCATGTTAGTCCCCAACCTACGATGATTTCATTCTCTAAAAACGACTCCAGGCCCCTCATACTCTGGTTCATCACATTTCCATGGTGATTCATTTTCCTTTCCTCACAATTCTGCTACCCCTTGCAAAATCTGGTGTCTCAAGAACCAGTTTAAATACCCCTAACCAGACATGGGGGCCTGTCTAAGAGATTACAGTAGGTAAGAAACTTGCCTTGCACACAGCCAACCTGGCTTCCATCCTCAGCACTCCATATGGTCCTTTGATCCTGCCAGGAGTGATCCCTGAGCACTGAGCCAGGAGTTGGCCTGAGCCGAGCTGGGTATGGCCCAAAAACCGAACAAAATACCCAAATAACCCCCGCTCCTCCCCATCGCATGAAACATTTTCTTTCTGGGCTTGTGAGCCAGGAGTAGACCTGAGCAGAAGCTGGGTGTGGCCCCCAAATCAAACAAAATACCCAGATGACCCCCACCCCCCATCCCATGAAACATTTTCTTCCTGCCCCCCCCCCGCCCCCCCCCGGGCACGGTTCACGTAATCTCTGCCTTCCCTGGGTCCTGAGCCCTGTTGAAGCCCCCTAAAGAGAGAGTGGGTGGCCCTGGCACCAGCCTCCAATGTGACGCCCAGACGCCCCTTCCTCTGGCCCTTTGCGTTTCAGATTACCAGCAGCCCCTCATGATCGGCACCGGGACGGTCACCAGGAAGGGCTCCACCTTCCGGCCCATGGACACGGAGGCGGACGCGGCGGGCAGCGGCCGGGGCCACTACGACTGCCCCCTGCCGGCCGGCCGCCACGAGTACGCGCTGCCGCTGGCGCACCCGGAGCCCGAGTACGCCACGCCCATCGTGGAGCGGCACCTGGCCCGCGCGCACACCTTCTCGGTGCCCGGCTACCGCGTGCCCGGGCCGCGGCCGGCGCACAAGCACTCCCTGTCGGCAGGCGGGGGCTACGACCAGCCCAAAGCCGGCGGCGCCCTCCCCGCCGCCACCGCCGCCGCGCCCGCCGACCCCGACTATCAGAAGCCCCAGCGGAGCCCCGAGCCGCCGCCGGATGATGCTTACTCAGCCCCCCGGGACTGCATCAAACCCCTCAACCCGACAGCGATGACGGCGCTCCTGTGAACACAATGTGAACAAAACCTGCTGTGGTACTGAGCGTCAGGCTGTGCGGGGCCAGGGGGATGCATTGCAAGTGATGTGTGAGAGCAGTGTGTGTGTGTGTGTGTGTGTGTGTGTGTGTGTGTGTGTATTTCAATAGGATCCAGGGGCATGCATTGCAAGTGAGACTCTGATGCGTGATTGCAGGTCTATGTGTGTGTTTCTCTCAATAGGATCCTATGGTGGAATCCTAGAGGCCTGGAGACCACCCTCTACAACTGTTTACAAAATCGTGCAGCTGGTTTTGTTCTGACCCTTTAAGGCAAGAGTGTTCGTTTTGTTGTTGTTGTCGTCGTTGGGCTAGAAAAAAAAAATGAACGTTTTTCAGGCGGCATTTTCATTTCTCCGACTGTGACACTGAGCTGCTTTGGTGTAAGACGTGCAATTTGTATAGAGTTGTATTTAGCAAGAAGTAACTTAGGTTTACTTTGATCAGATTTTAGTTCTGCACTGGGGTTACATGCGAGAATGCGGCTGTTGCAAAAAAAAAATCATTTATAATAGAATGTTGGCTTTTCTGAATATATCTTTATCTGATACTGTATCAGCAGCAGGTCTGTTTAAGCCTAATCTTGTTGTTATTGTGGCTCATTTCCTTTCCTTTGATAACGAGAGTTAAAAAGCATTGTTAACATTCTTCTCCTGGAAGAAATGAATTACTTGAATCATGGAAAGCATACCGGGTGGTTGTTAGCAACTATGACTGTGGATTTTCACAAGCAGCCGCCTATGCCTTAAGACTCCCCTTGAGATGGGGATGGACAGGCCGGCTGGACTCTGTGTTCTGCTGGCCGTTTGGCCCTGCTCAGCCTTGGCTCCGCCCTCATCTCACTTTGCTTCCTCCTCACCGGACCTGGCAGATCCTGTATGTCTTTCCAATGCAAATCACTCTTCCTAAGTCCAGACCCAATGCTGAGACTTCCAGCCACCCAAACTGCTCTCCCTACAGACTGAATGAAGGGAGCACAGAAGCACAGTCTGAATTCCTGTGTCAGAGGCTTTTGTACCTCAGATTTTAAACTACTGCCGAGGTCAGAGGCCCACACACTTGTCACGACTCTTCAGAAATAGCTCTTCACACTTGGAAACACAAAAATATTATTTGAAGTGTGTTCTTAGAAAAGTGAGCCAGGTCCAATCTACATAGGACTTTTCTACTGAGGTGGGTGTGAATTTCTTTTGTAGGCAACCATGTCCCCCTTCAAGTATGTGTCTTTCATTCCAGAGTAGCACAGACCTCAGCCGTACCTCATGTTCTGTGGTTTTTGTCTATTTGCCTTGTGAGTTCACTGTAGCAGATTTAACCTCTTTTGCCAAAGAGGAAAGTGTGTGTCTGAATAGAAAATGTGGACCAAAAGATCCTTTCTCTAAAATTAAAAAAAAAATATATTATAAGGCTGTTTGTATGATTATGACTGTCTGTGAAATGTATAAATACTAAAATAGTTAGGGTGCTGGAAGGTCCTGTCCTGGCCAACTATTGTGGAAGGTAAACCATTTCCTTTGCAGAGTTTACATGGTTTTATATGTAAAATAATTGTAATAAACTATGCCAAATCAAAGTGCCTTCACTTCTCATTGGGGCCCTGCTTCCTGGACTGTGGAGGTTTCTGCTGCCCAGACTCCAGACCTGGCAAGTGGCACAGAAGCCAGAGCCTGGGCTTGGGGTCAGCTGGGTCTGAGTAACAAACCCTGGTCTGCCTCACAGGAGTGAAGAAATGCTGGAAAGTTCATGAAGACCAAGCAAATGGAGACAAGTAACTGCTGCTTAGAGCATGCTCTAGCAGGGAGTCAGCACTTGCATCGTGACAGAGATTCAGAGGCAGCAGAAGAGTGGGAAACTGGGGGACATGGCAGGGGATGGAGTCAGGTGTGCCCCAACAGGCCTTTGTCAAGTAGAGTGATAGGAGGGGTTAAGTGAAAATGTGGTATCATGGATAATTGTTTGGGGTGCATAGTTGGTTCTCTCTCGTTGGTCTTAAATTGGAAATGAACAAAAATTGGAGAACTGGAGAGAGAGCACAGTGTATAAAGCAGTTGTCTTGCACACGACCCACCTGGATCCTATGCCAGGCACCACATATGATTTCCTGAGTCCTGCCAAAGTGCACAGAGCACAGAGCCAGAAGTAAGTCCTAAGCGCTGCTGGGTGTGGCCAGAAAAACACACTGGGGAAGTTTATCAATTTGTCAATGTTTGACTTCCTGAATTGTTACCAGAAATAGTGATATCTGACTTTTTACAAGTTACATACAGCATGCTGGCTTTCTTTGCTGGTTAATGTGGCTATTGGGTTGGCTCCTTGTGGTTCAGAATTCCTTTTTATTTTTTCCCTATGTGGTTCAGTTATTATCCATTTGTGTTACCTGTCCATTATCTAAGCATTCACTTCATTTTTCTCAGTATAAAAGTTAATCCACCTTCCTCCAAAGCTTACAGAGAAGAATCAGGATATTTAGCTCAGTGTTCAATGATAGGACCCTTTTCCAGTCCCTGGGCTGGGCCATCAGCATACTGTACATTTAATTTTGTTAGGCCAGTAGTCCATAGGAGTAGGCTTGACTCTATTGCTGCTTTACAAAGGAGCTGTCTTCCTCTGTTACATTTCTTTCAAATACTCATCATCTAATCCTGACAGAAAGGGGAGACCAGCACTTTGGGACTTCATGGTCTCACTTTGTAGACTAGGGTGGCTGAGTAGAAAGGTTTGATTAGCCTTCTACTGCCTACCTTAAACTGGAGGAAAAGAGAAGAAAAACACTAGATCTTCAGTGTTATGCAACATGAATTCATAGGACATGGAATTCATTATTCTAAGTCTGGTTTCCCTATGTTAACAAACCCTACTGGAGGCAAAGATTGCAATGTCCTCCTTCGCCTCTACTCCAGTGACATTTTTCCATTAAATCATCCTTGGTGTCAGTAAGATTTCCAGATTTGAAATCTTGCTACTTCTATTTCTGCTTAAATTCTTCCTACTTCCCTGATTCCTGTCTATGCCTCTTTCTCCCCTTCTTTCTTCCTCTACCCATCATACAGTTTTAAGCAGCATTTTTAGAGATTCCATTCTTTCCAAGAGCCCCAAATCTTGCAATCACAACATAAATCCACATTCAGCTCCACATCCTCACATCAGCACAATCGTTTGCAACTGTTCGCAGTAGGGGGAATAGTTTACGGGACAGCCCTTTCCCCTCAACAATTCCACTTTCTTTCCTCCAGCAACGGTTCCAAAGCACTGCCCCTCATCACACTATCTTTAATTGGCTCTAGCCATCTCCTTCACCTAAAGAACTCATTAAAATTAGACCCCAAATAACAATCCTAAAAGTAAAAAATTCTGTCTTGGGGCCCAGAGTGATAGTACAGTGGGTAGGGTGTTTGCCTTGCACGCAGCCGACCTGAGTTCTATCCCTGGCATCCCATACGGTCCCCCAAGCATTGGCAGGAGTAATTCTGGAGTGCAGAGCCAGGAGTAACCCCTGAGCATCACTGGATGTGACCCAAAAAGCAAAAGTAAATAAATAAAATCTATAAAAAAAAAACTGTCTTTCTCTCCCACACCCTCCTGGGTGGGTGAAAGTGTTTCATACCTTCACCTTGACTTCATTCCATTGCCCTCTCCCTCCTCTTAGGTGTTTGGCGATTCCCTTTTTCCTTATCTTCAACTTCTCCCTTTCAACTGATCTCTTCCCTTCACTCTGAATTTGTCAAATTTCTCTCCGTGTTCAAAAATTATCCTATAGATCCTAACCTTTCTCATTACAGTCACTCAATCATTTGACAAGTGTTTTCTGAGAAATTTGTCCTTAGATGACTGTCAGTAAATGGCCAAGTGTGCTTCCAGTTACGCCTAGACGATGTGGCCTACTAGTTGGCTATTGTGGGCCCTAGGTGTGGGGCAGTCATTGACCAAAACATTGCTTCTTAGAACATGCCTCTGCTGGACAACTTCCATGCCTCACCACCCACTCATTCTTTTTTTCTAGTTTTTGTTTTTCCCAGCCGGTTGTACATTCACGTAAAATGTGTTCATGTTATTTTGCTCCATATGTTCAAACCTACTCCCTACCCCCCACTCCCACTCCTGTTCCCTGTTCACGTTACTGGGACTGGGTGTTGCCCCCAATAGTAGCATTTGTGCATTTTGTTGTACTTGCTGGGGGTGCCCAGCAGGTGGCGATGCTCTTGGGAGTCATGGCACTTCACACATGCTCACCTGGGCTGCACTCCTTGAGTGGCTGTGCTTGCTCACTTGTGGTGGCAGTGCAGCTGGCCAGGGGTCACAGCGAGAGCTGCTGGGATCATGTGCAGCACCTGTGACAGCCCAGACACTGCATCCAAGCCTCAGATTACACAACAAGCACCTGTGACAGCCCAGACACTGCATCCACAGCCTCAGATTACACAATAAGCACTCTAGCCACTGAGCCACTTTCTGCCCTACTCCAGCTTCCTTTATATTGTTTTGGGGCTGTTTAAAATGACCTTCTTTCAGTTCTCCCCTTTTAAAACCTTTACTTGATTACATGTTTTTGCTTATTATCACCACTATAAATGGCCGCATTCTCTAGTGTTATCCAGGTCCAAGGAAGGTCTGAGGGGCATTTTTTTTTTTTAAAGGATAAGTTTTGGAACTAGACTGCTTGGGTTTAAATTCTGCCCTACTTGTATAAGCAGGTTTATGATTTGCCTCTCTCTAAATGCATTCCCTTACTTACAAATGGAGGTAACAGTATTACACCTGTAATCTTCATGGGAAAATTAGAAGGGTTGGTACATGTAAAACCCTTAGAACAGCACCATGTGGTACTTGTGGTAAGCACCATGTCAGTGTTATGCATATACATACATTTTATTCTCTGTATTTTTCATACTCATGTTCTGTTCTTACCCTGAACCTGTTAGTTTCTATAGCTTTTGGTTGATTTGTAGAGCTTCTTTTTGTTTTGGGACACTCCTGGTGGCACTCAGGGTTGACTTGCAGCTGTCTTTGGGGAACTGTACAATGCTAGAGATTGAACTTAGGGCT